AAGGTAAAGATATATATATATATACTTAAATCTTTTTCGATTTCCGATACCAGCCGCTTTGATATTCACCGGTTTCAAACGCGTTGCGTGTTTACTTGCTACATTATAAAATTAACTTTTAATGCATATCAAGATATAACTAGTAATGATAGGTATTTTAATATAATGATAGAGAGGAAAATTCAGATTAAATTAATAGAATAATTAAATAATTTAATTGTGCAGTTGCGCAGTCAATTTACTCTTTATAATGCACACATATTATAGATAAAAGTTGTTAACACACATACATAGATAACTATAATTATTTTAAAAACAAAAATAGATATACATATATTTTGCTGGAAAAGTATGTCGATGTACTAATGTCTTTTAAAAAAAATTGAATTGATAGTTGAAATTAATACATCTCTGTTTTATTTTATGTCACGTCGAAATTATAAGGAATTAATCGCAGAAGATTAATTATCACATATTTTTAAGATATCAATATTTAAATGTAAGATATATGAATATATCCAGTATAAATATTATTCAAATTTATGGCAAAAATTATGATAGAAATGTGGACGCTTTACTTGTTTTCTCTAAATGAAACGCATCATTGGTAACCACTTTAAGAAAACAATGAACCTGTTTAGCGAATACAGCTGCCAGTTTGCCATATAGTAGCTAATGGATCGGTATGGAGCAAGCTTTTATCGGCGCCGATTTTACGCAGGTGAGTTATCGAAATGCTTTTAAATCGCTCTTGTTCCATATTCCTGTCAATATAAACAGATATTAGAAATTTAATTGCAATTTTTATGAGTTCTGATAATTAATTGGAAGAAAGAATAATATTTATATTTATTATATAATATTTAATTTTATCTTTTTAATATATATAATCGATGAAAGTTTAATTTAACACACACATGTATTATGTGCTTGTAATAAGAGCTGCAAAAAGGAATTTTAATTCTTTCTTTTTTTTAGCAAAGAATATCAAATTCTTTACTCTTAAATTTTTAATTTTATGAATTATTTGCACAATTAATAATAATTATCGTCTTTGATATTAAAAAATGATAGAATGCGAGTAAATGAATTTATCACGGTAAATAGATTCGTTCATGGATACTGAAATATACAGCACTTTCTAATGACAGCTGTTGATCGCGCTGTCGTCATATAAATTGATACCGGTCACTCCCTTTCGTGCACATTGTAAACTGCAATCGTTGATAAAACAATGGCATTCCATTTTGCAATCTGGTACATGCTATTTCGTGTATCGATCTTTTATTGCGAGTCACTAGTTCTTCCACGTGTTCTCACAAATCATTGATAAGGAAATGATCGTCCTTGATTTCGTACCAGGATCCGACATTAATGAAGCGCAATGACGTCAACTCAATTTGCCTCTGTAACTATTATCGAGCCGTCATCGAGCAGGAAAGAAACAAAAAATGAGACGAAGAAAAAAGCGGAATTCCATATTCTCGTTTATAGTATTCTGCTTTCTTATTCCCGAGCACGTACCGTCCGGTTCTATTTATGGCGTTAAACCGTGCACGAAGATTTATCGATGCCATTTCAATAGCGTATATCGCTGCGGCCTATGGAAGATGTAATTATTTGTCATGACAAATGGCAGTCTTCGAAAACGATAAAAACTCGATCACAGGAGAAATATTTCATATGAGATAGGACGGATACGTGTCGATACAAAAGAAGAATTGTAGGCTATGCGAAAACGCGGAAAGAACATCCGATTTATTATATTAGAGTTAAAATAATGATTCAACCGCAACACGCAAGTCACATAATTATTTACATTACAGATCTGTTGATCGAACTGTTGATATTTGATGAAAACGCTCAAGTTAACTTCTGACGATTTTCGAAAATTATTAATGAATCAATTGTACTCAATTATTTAGAAGATATTTAGAATGATCCTTTTTGAAGCATATCCTAATTGAATCCCGAGAATCTGCGGGTAACCTACTTTTGAAGAAGGCTACAAAGAAATGTATGATGGAAACCTCTCACAGTCGATCGCCAAGCTCTATAACCGGTTGGTCTCCAAGTAGATTTTCTCTTTTTGTGCGCTTCAACTGGCGCCAGAGTCTACCTTCCCCGATCCGGCCTCGAATCATTGCAAGTCGGGACGACAGTCTTCGTCCTCTTCATCGTCGATAGCAGCAAGTTGATAGCAGTCTTCGACCGTTGCGGGAATAAGTAGACACTTTTCTTTTCGCCGTCATGGAAACTGTCATCAAGATTGCGAATGCGAAGTCGACATAGCTGGTGACGTCGGATCTCTCTAGATCTTTAATCCGTTTCGATCGTCGATCGTGAGGCGAAGATTTGTTGCTCCGGTTCCGCTTTCTGTGGAATTATTTTCAGTTTTTGTTCGATCTTTTATTTCTGTCTTGACAAAGGTTCTGCCTTTTTATGTATAGTGTTATAATCTATCATGTTAAATAATTTGTTACTTAAATTTCTTTATATACTTCAATAACTATTATTTTATTAACAAACTTATTAACGAAAATTTGGTTCTATTTGCGATTAACGATTAGATTTAAAAAATGTCTGTTAGAGTTATTAATTCGTAATATCTATGGAATAAATTAATTTTATTGGTAAAATTTATTTAATTTGATTGCATCTGTGTCATTATTTATTATGTTTATTTATTTATCGGGATATGTGGTACAATTCCAATTTATATGAAAGAGTTACTCTAATAGAAATATATGTATATATAGTTCCAGAAAAAAAGTAAAAGAAAATAATGTAAAATTAAGAACTAAAAATTAACAACGCGTAATCGTACATAAGATTAATTATTTAAATTCTGAAAGAAAAGTAATGAAAATGTCACAAGCATTACAGTACATGTATCGATATCGATAATTAAAAGATTTTATGCAAAAAAAATTTTTGATATTCAATGTAAAAATTTTCCGCGTCATTTGCAAGACAAAAAATAAATATTATTACGGTAAAATTTGCGAGTGTTTATTTTGCTTTTCGCGAGTTTTCTCTTCGATTTTTCTTTACGCACGAGACCTCGCTATAACGACAAGTTGCAATCAATGAAATGCAATAAAAGATCGACCTGAATCAGCGCTAGAACTCGCGCTAGATATAGAACGCTGTTTTTCGATGCGTGACGGCCACGCGAGGACGCATGATCATCCTCCGGAAGCACGTGTTACTGATTACAGATACGAGAGATGCTAGGATCAAATTTGTGTTACCTCTTTCGAGAATGATTTTATTGAAAAGTGATTTATACGTAAAATGTATTGTTGAATATGTGTCGCCAAGAAAATTCTGGTATTAATGGAACATGTATGTCTCATAATCTTTTATTTCGGAGAGATGTGTGTCATATTTACAATCTGTAACAAGGTAAATTGAAAAATTTATTTCAACATACAATCATTTTTAGTGACTCGAAAATTATAATGAGATATGTACAAACCTTTCATTTTATAATTTTTAATTTTTATATATATACAAATATAATTTTTAAATCAGATTTATATTTTAAAATCCAATTAATAATTTATAAAAAATATTAATAAATCTTATGCACATAATAGATTCTACAAAGCAAAATCAATTCTCTTTATTTTAAAATATGAAATTTTTTTTGTGTTATAAATACTTTGGTCTACCACTCTCTGACATCTCCTCGCGCAAAAATATTACACAAAAGCAAACTTTAAAGTATTTAAATTTCCTAAGAATTTTCCGATTTAAGTACCGTTTGCGTATATGGTTTTAGTGGCGCGTGAATCTTTCAGACGGCAATATCACTGGAGATTAGTGCCTTGACCATCACGCGAATTGCGATATAATATTTCCATTCTTTTTTCTTTTTTATTATATTAGGAAAAGAAAAATGATATTATACACTATATTATAAACGTGCAATAATTTTTTGGCATGACATGAAATATTAAATGCCGCTCTTTATAGTGTTGTCAAAAATATGACAGCAAAATAAAGTTTACATTAAATAGGTCTATAAACTTTTTATTTCCTAAAAAATATGAGAGAAATAGAAGTTATGTGTCATTATTCTACTCAGTCATTGATTTATTACGAGTAATGGGAAATGTGAATCGATTCATATGTCGTCCGAGTTCACATTCATGTAATCGCGACACGAAACGATGAATGAATCCGGCTTGGGCACGCGATATCGTTCAATGGCAATGTATACCAGTGGAAGTTTGCTAATTGCGCAATCCATTTCCGTGTGGCTTGCGTCGCACGGACACTGAATAAGCACATGGATGGTACAATCACGATAATAATTAATCTCGGTCGTCATTAATCCACATCCAAGCGAGCGTGTTCTTCCTCTTTGCAAATAGCGGCGCAAAAGTTTGCCGGAAAATCATATGTTCTAAGCGGCAGTCGATCATCATTGTTCATTTGTGTTTCCCGCTCTTTTGTCCATCTGACTCTTGACTTATGCATTACATACAAAATTATGTTTAACGTAAAGCACAACCGCGCTGATTATTAAAATATGATTTTAATAATATAGACGTAGTTACATCAAAATAAAAATTCTGAATAATTTTAAATTTTAATAAGTATATCTGTCTCAGATATAAATGATTTTAATAAACAGAAATGTTAAGTTTAATAAACAGAGATAATTATCCTATTCAACAACAATTTATCAAATTATTAAAAATGTGTAATTCTTCCAAGAAAAGCTAGTAAATAAAAACTCCTTCATTATTGTTAAAACCTATTATTAGATAAGTCTCTCGAATGGCGCAGTTTTGTCTTCCCGGAATCAGATCAATTATCTTGTACATTTATTTTGTTTCCACACGTTCATATCTATCGCAAAAGCTAGGAATAGACTTATTGTGTTCAAATGTAAAATTAAACTAAAGCAATAAATCGCAGAGAACGATAGTATTTTAGCTTCTTGAGAAGACATTTTAATGATCACATAATTCTCAATTGTCTTTCAGGTACGGCGAGAAGCAACGACGGTCGGATAGTCAAGAAATAAGCGGCATTCAATTGCTTTCTGCTACAGCTTACCAGCTAAAAAAGCCTTACCAGCAATTACTGATACCGATCACGGTATGGATCGGTATGGAGCAAGCTTTTATCGGCGCCGATTTTACGCAGGTGAGTTATCGAAATGCTTTTAAATCGCTCTTGTTCCATATTCCTGTCAATATAAACAGATATTAGAAATTTAATTGCAATTTTTATGAGTTCTGATAATTAATTGGAAGAAAGAATAAAGCTGCCAGTTTGCCATATAGTAGCTAACTATGTCGCTGCAATCTAGCAGGCGACATCATTAGGAGAAAGATAATCCTGACCCGCATAATGTTTGCCGCACTGAGGAAGGCGAACCGCAAAACAAGACCGTCGCGGCCGTAAATAAAATTATCGATATATCGACGTGCTACATATATAAGTTAAGTACTTTTCTCTTGTAAAATCAATTTAATCTTGCACAACATGTATGTTACAAATTGAATAATAATAATTCATGCAAAATGCCGCGTTTGTTACTATAATTCTTCCGGAACATAATGTTACTGCTCTTCACACAATTTGTAACTTCTCAATTCAGGCGGATAATAAATATTTAATTAATTATAAATTATATAAATATTTAAGAGATTATATATATAGCAAGTATAAAATATATTATACTTAAGACGAGTAGTTGCATCCATGTAAATTTAGAGAATATTGAATCGATTAGCTAATTGACAAAATACACTTTTGTAATTTAAGAATTTCATTTGTGTGACACACACACAGACACACATGAAAAAAAGGAGAATATTTAATATCAGATCCAGATTAGTTTGATTAACCATATTTGTGTGGCATTATCAATTATCAAACATTTGGTTGAATATTTTCTTTGATTATCCGCAGAGCATCCAAAGAAGATCGCGTTGTTGTCGCGTTATTGTCGCTCTCTCGCTCTCTTTGCTCTTATTGTCGTTCGCCGTAATGGTATTATCGTCCGTGATATCTGCATATTGGATAAGTCTTACGTAAGAGAGGTGAGCGTGTTAGATCCGCACGCAGATTCCAAAACGTCTCGCATTCTGTCGCTATCTTCCACTCGCGTTGCTTCCAAGGTTGAACCATAACGGTTCAGGCCGAGTCTGTACACGTTGGAAAGCCTCGCGAAAATATGCATTCGTAAAAGCACACAGCTGCGGTTGAAAGAGGTGAAAAGGATCACTTATAGGCTATACTATGTATCATGTGAACATTCGCGCGGCCGGATATAAAAAATTGCGCGTGATCGACACAAAAACGCGGAAAATGAAACAGATAATGATAATGAGTAGTGAAGCTTATTCGTAATTGAGCAAAATACCGGTTATGTCCAAATTGCAAACAATTATTCGGCCGTATAAGTGGAAAAACTAGAATTAAGTATAAAAATTATTTTGAGAATTATTTTGTTAGCAATATTGATAATTTCTGCATTATTAATCGAACGGATTATTCATGCTTGTTAGAGGATTAATAGATTAAAAGTTCGCTCAATCGACGTTCGATTAAATACATTTTTCGCCAAGGTCCTCGAACGGATCAAAGAGAGCCACAATACTAACCGGTACCGAGTCCATTGAAAATATTAGTCAGAGAATTCTTGAATTATGTATCTGGATTAACGTGCGGCGATTCTCATCGATATCATATAATTCGCTATCACATCATGATAATTTCTCTTTATTTCGACGAGCATTTACATGCGGAAATACGACTTTGTGGCGCCACCACGAAGAAATCAGCATACGAAAAAAAAAGTAACGTCTACAGTAATAATTCGTTTTTAACCAGGTATATGTCTGACAATGAGACGAACGATCAGCCCGTCATCTGTCACGGTCGTTTGTCAAGTTGTTAATACATGCGTGATTAACGACAAGACGCGATTCAAAAGCAATACGAAGCAGTTATGTAGATTACCGCGGAAGATATGTTACCCGTTTTCATGCCTTCTTTTGTCTGAAGAGATACATCTGAGGTATACCTGTCTTTGCAAGTGTCGATTTGCACCACGTTCTCCGCGGATCTAGACGGTGGCCGTGGCTTCAGCCGGGCCCAGAAATACTGCAAACGTGTTCTCAGGAATGTCGTCCTCCGGGGTGGAGAATATTCGCTGAGCTGTCGAGCGTTTAGCGGCACAATCGAGAGATTTACTTTGTGAATTTACCGACAAGGCACCGGCTGTATTGCTATACCATCTCGGGCCCCTAACATGTCGCGGGTCCTTAGGACGATTTATGTCTATCTGGTTTGTCAGCTAAATTTAGCATCGGGATTCTATTCGTCGGATTTTTTCGCGGTATGTACGAGAATGCCTCTCATTCCCCTGCCACATTCATATTAATTTTACGATGTACGATATAGACCTTCAAGATACATTGCTTGTATTTATTTTCTTTTAAGTTATACCCCGTACTTCCTTTTATTACAAACCTTTCATTTTATAATTTTTAATTTTTATATATATACAAATATAATTTGGAGAGATGTGTGTCATATTTACAATCTGTAACAAGGTAAATTGAAAAATTTATTTCAACATACAATCATTTTTAGTGACTCGAAAATTATAATGAGATATGTACGTATATCTTTTTCATTAGATATAAAAAGTTTATTATAAATAAACGAGACATATATACCATGTATATTGTATGTCCTGTGTTGTACAATTATGCGGGCATTAAAATCTCGAAGCTTTGAGTGCAATCGATCTCAACAAGTACGCGAACAAAACCATAAATAGTTTTTTATCTATTTGTCTATAAATATGAAAGTAAATATTAATTGTAAAATTAATGGTATATATATATATGTTTTTAATTTCGCAATTTGGTGTTATATTAATACGGACAATTCGAACGGTTAATTTTTTAACAATTGCATTAAAGACAGAAAAATGTAAACCAAGATGCATGTTAAATTATTGTTTAAATTAGAACTTTTATCAAGAATAGATTAAAAGAGAAAGTACTATAAACTATGACAAAAAATCAAAAGAGAAAAATAAACAATTTTCTACAATATTGCTTTAAAAGCAATCTGTTTTTTGCACTTGCATAAAATAATTTTTCTAAATATATGTAGCTACTAAGAAATATAAAATTAAGCTTTTCCAACATCAGATACATTACAAATTGATAGAAAAATGTTTAGTATATATTTTAGGAGAAGATTTGTGTATTTGTCGCATGCGTGTATATATGAAACTGGAAAGCTATAGCACACTATATTGAAATATAATTAGCTAAAAATAATAATGAAGAAACATTAGAATGTATGTTACAAAAGAAAATGATTAAACATATCTCCCCACGTACGCATGATAGTTATATGTACTAGATTTAGAAAGTAAATATACATTAATTAGAGATATATGTTTGTTTGCTATGAAAGCGAAACAAGAAAAACGAAATAAAAAAAGGAAGAGATATATAATAAAGAAATAAATTTTTCTTTAAAAACTTTTTCATCTGGAAATGTATGTGTCTGACATACGAGCAAGAATATTATTAAACAAGGAGATATACATATATTTGAAAGCAGGATATAACGTGATACTTATTCACGCACAGTATAAGGAATGTAATTAATAGCTGCTCTAAGTCGTAATGAAGAAAAAAACCGTGGCAGTAATCATACCAGGCTGTATGCTATTTTGCTCAATTGAAAAGATGGATTTGCGTAATTTGTATGCTGTCTAGCCGGTAATCGATCCGCCCAACAATATACTATATCTTTACGTTTTCTCGGATATTACTAATATGGTATCTCGCAAAAACACGTCTCAGATCAGCGTTTAGTTTTTACATTACAATCGCGATCAAACTACGGCAATTTTAACGGATCATCTTTTTCACTTTATCTTTTCTTGTCTCTGAAGGCTGCCGGCTGGATTTCCAGCTATATTTTTTGTTTTAAAATGATGCCAGTTGAAAATATTTGTCTCATTTGGAAAACTATATTCGTGACAATAGAAGCTTGGACTTAGTTTAGGCTTTTGGATATAATTATGCTTAAATTTTTTTAAGAAAATACTGAAAATATTATCTAATTTGTACGAATTACTCTTTCATTCAAAAATAGGTCTATTTTAATGATAGAATAATCGAAAATTAGGTACATTCTTCAGAACTTTTAGATACTGTTCATTGACAATCTCCATCGAAGCTACAGAAACGTAAGTTTCACGTAAGAGGCTAGAATTAATCGAGGAAGGTCGTGCATCGGGTAAACCCCCTCGTTATTAAACGACCCTGCATTATGACAAAAAGTGCTTCGGGCTAACGAGTTGCGACTCGTTTAAAACTGGTTCGCCGACAGGTCGTACGACGTCTTCGACTCTGGTGAGACGGGTAATTGGGCAATTAAACGCGCGCAAAGAGAAATTAGATGAAAAAAGAAAGAGAGAAAGAGAAAAAAGAAGAGGGAAGAGGAGGTTGCAGACTTTGCTGAGTCAGCTGAGTGGCGCTGGACTTGTTATAAATAGCCCCGCGAGCTTATTCTCGCGCCGATCCGGCGATACCGGACTTTCATACCTGAAATTCCATGTACCAGTATTTCTTTTACACGTGCACCGGATTGCGTGCACGCATACGCGTACACGTGTCGGACTCGCTTCGTTCTTCGATATAGTGAATGCCTCGGGGCATTATGTATATATAAGCCCATTCAAATGCCCGGATGTTGTCAGGTCGAGAATCACACCGAAGTATTGAAGGAATGCGACGATACGACAACCCATAGAACACAATGAAACCATAGATACGGTTGACTTGGAACTTGCGCCGAAGGAATTTTTAGTTATTAATTGTGGACTGATACGGCTGTTTAAGAATGAAAACTCAGCAAAATTCTTTAAATTTCAACTCAGTAAATTTCTTTAATTCATTCCAAATTTCTGTTTTGTATACAATTTTGAATATCGGTAAAAATTCTATTTAATGCTTGTATATATAAATAAGAGAGAGAAAGAGAATAAATAACATAAAAATAATCACCATTATAAGATGTGAAGGTTTACCAAGTGCTAATTTGTCCCATTCTCAAAAATATTCAAATTTAGAATTTTTTTCCAATGACAAAACGTTGTGTGCGCATTTAAAACATATTTTTGGTTTAAAACGTACATTATTTAATATATATGTCATATCAACATCACGTTTTTCTGAATTTATTGCGTCTTTCGCGGAAAATATATTCTCCGTATCACTACAAGTATATAAATACAGTTATTAAATATATATATAGCACTGTATCAATCACGTTTTTTTTTTATTTATTGCTTTGTCCGGAAAATATACGCCGTATCACGAGAAATGACCTAATATTTACGTACTAATTTATCAGCAATACATTTTATCGTTTACGTTGGACAGAAGTATTCATTCGTTTATCCGTCGTATATTGATTGAGATGTCTTCGAAGAGATTCACTCATTGTACTGTATCTTAATAAGATAGCTGTTCGCCTTGAGCTACAGGATGACATAATATAATATGCGCCATGTTTATATGTATATGGAAATGGAAATACTCAAATACATGCGTAATACAAAGAAATTTGCTAAGTAAATAGATATGACTATGATTGATGTGATTGAAATGATTTTTTTATTTGTAATCAATGAAAGTCATAAGACATTTTTATGAGTCAGTATTAAAACTGCCGATGCTTATAATGCTCATCTCTTAAACAAACATGCGTTAATCTCTTTATTAATTGCGCGCGTCTTTCATGGTTCGAGATTAATACATTTGGCAATATAAAATATTCGAGGAAGAGTGCGAGGCCTGCATTTTGCGAAAGATAATCATGTAAATATTTCACATGCCGCTGCTTTATACTCAATTTTTATAGAAGAACGTATAATCAGTCAGAGTTCTTTTGCAGTGTTAGAGAACACATTTTGTGATGTATTTATGTAGAATATAATATATCTAAAAAAATTAATAACTGTATGTAATGTTTATATATGAAGAATTAAATATTTTTCAAAATTTGTCGCGTTTAGAATTGGTGAATAAATATTTTACAGCTTCTAAATCGAATTTAATCGATGCAGTAGGTATATGATTAATGATAGATATGTCAATGAACAATTATTCTTGAATCATCAGTATTTTGCGCATCGATTATTTTTGGCGCGAATATACGGCAAATCTCACATCCAATGTAACATGTACATTAGTATGCAACTTCTTATTTAATATTCTATAAAATACATATGATTATCAATTTTTATTTTTAATTATTACCAATCATTAACAATCATTATCTTGTTTAAACGGAAAAAAAACATATAGTCAGATATCCTGTGATGTAGTATAAAAAAAGAGCGTATCCTTGTAATGCTCTCCATTCAAGGACATGCGTTTCGGAATCTCAGTATAGTGTATCCGCAAAATGGTACCTTAAGTGTTATAATGAATTTAAATGAAGAAAAAAACACGTTTAAATACAATTAAAGAATTCAAGATGAAAAAGCTCGCTCTCAGTCTGTCGTTACATTGTGTTAAAATTTGATGATTGATGGGATTATAATTGCAAGATAGCGTTGATATACACATACGAAAGCAGATTGACATCAGCTTCTCTTATAGAACAAGGGCATCAATTCATTCAATATGTAGAATGCGCACAGAAAAAAATAAATTTGGTATTTTTCTACCTGTGAAACGCTTAATAGCGTATTATATGGAGAGAGACTGAAATGAAAGCCATTGTGTTCCAATTCTTGATCAGCAATCTTCTAATTTATCAGCAATCTTCAACGCGCAAAAAAAGAAAGAGAGAGAGTTCAATGGATTCGGAATGCCATAGATCATCTTTGACGAATTAAAAAAAGAAGTATTAAATCGAATTCTTTTGTGTCTTTCCAGGCGTACATCTCCTGCGCTCTAGGTGTCCACAGAGTCGGCTACGTCATGATCTGCTTCGGGGTGGTCAATGCCGGCTGTTCGTTGCTATTCGGCTCGTTAATGAAATTCGTCGGCAGACAGCCGCTGATGGCTCTGGGCGCCATCGTTCATGCCTCCCTCGTAGTCGTCCTTCTCATGTGGAAGCCGCATCCTGATAATCCTTACATTTTTTATTCGGTCTCGGGTCTGTGGGGCGTGGGTGATGCCGTGTGGCAAACGCAGGTCAACGGTGAGTATTTATTATATTTTATATGTTAATGTTAGTATAAATGTTGCAAATTAAAAAAAATATAAAGAGAAATTTATGTATGATACAATAAAATAGATAGTGCATTGCTAGGATAGTTTTTCAGAATTAATATTTTCGATATGTCAATTTTATAGCAGTCACTTTAACTACTGAAGTAATCAAACGCCGCACAAAATATTACGTGATGGACGTTATTAATCATATGGCTTGCAGGTTATTATACGCGCAATCGAATATAATAAATCGAACGATATTTCGTTACGTCATAGACAGGCTAAAAGATTATTCGGATTAATATTAGATTGAAGTTCATAACGTGTTGTGCTATTATTCGCATAATCGAGGATATAATGAAGCAAACGCTATATCGTTATAACATACCAGGGAACCAAACAAAATTATTTAAATTATTTTATCCCATTATTATCGGATTTGAAGTCCGTAATACGATGAGAGATAGGCAAATCAATTTTGGAGGCACGGATTTGTCTAACAGTCTCTCTTTTTTGTCGTTTCAAAAAAACTAAATTTTTGTTATAAGTGACTGGTCCGTCCAAGACCGGCTACATTCCATATTTGTTTTATTCACAATCAACCCGGATATTGATGGATCAGACAAATACTTGACAGCCACTCTTAACACATTCGTGACAAAAAAATAATATTAGTCTGGAAATAAGTTACTTCTCATTAATATTAACGTTCTTACTAAATTAGAGGGTCATTGATCTATTCAGTTTGGGAAAAGAGAATTCATAACAAACATAAAATCATCGATTATAATATTTTGCATTACGTAAGCGTTAATTTGTCTGCGATTTTTTACGGATATTATAAGAAAAGTACCCTTTTTTATATAGCAATCGCTCATCATTGATAAGACAGATACATAGGTAGAAGATTCGATGATGTAATCTATAAAAACTCAATCGTAACAGAGAGGAAGTAATAAATAGCGAATTACTAAACAGCTAAATTACTTTTCGATAACTAGCGACTGGTAATAATGTAATTTTCTTTATATTAGTTTGCACATGCCGCCGCCATATAATCAGTTGGATTAATAAAAAGTCATATGATTAAATGCTTTGCTAAAGTAGTGCCTGGAGGAATTGATTAAAAATGATAATACATAGAAAGAGTGATAATTTCGTGACACATAAAATTGAAGTATACATTATACGCAATATCATTATCTCATCATCGTAATATCAAATATTCTTATATAGATCTCAAATAGAGCAATAAACATTGACCGTCGTAGAACTGGACGGTCATTGATATTTAAAATCCAGATAAGAATTTAACGTTACGTTGACGTGATGGTGACATTACGGATAATATGATATAAAGAGGACATTACATATCATCGATGTCCGTTTATATATATTCTCGATAAAGACATTAGAAAAAGAGACCTCTTTCTCTTTCTTTCGCAAAAAATTTATTTACGTGAAACCAAGCAAATATTGATATATACATATATTACTTATTACAGCGTTAACGGAAGACGATGATTCTGACCTTTGTGCTGATTAGATCATGCCCAAAAATGTTCTCGAAGATAATACACACCCACACATACATACACACACATAGGTTGCAAAACAAACTACTCAATACTAATTTTTCGTAATTAATTTTCCATTAATTTGTTTGGTTGTGGTTAGCAAATAAAAAAAAATCCATACTAGTTATTATATAAATATGATACGCTTTTTAGATTTTCCATGTCATTAGAGCAAAATCATTACCACTCTTTTATTTCGAGATGAAAAAAAAGAATATTCAAGTGGCATCAGTAATTCAATTTTAATTTAATTTTTGCTCGTTCGTAACTGCAGTTTTCACATGTAACAAACAACCAAATGACACACAGCAGGCTTGTCTTTATATACGTAATTAGAACTTCTGCAATTATACGAATGGAAAAGCGAGTCTCGGGCATTTCTTTTCTGCCTTACTGTGTAGTTCTTGCGAGATTAATCGCTTTACGATTCTCGTTCGAGTCTCGAGCATCTCGAGGTTTTGCAGAAACCGATATGCAAATCAATCTATCCAGCTACTTGTACATTAAAGCACACAGTATAGACAGCTGCATTTACTTCGTATCCGGCTTTGTCGGAATAATTGCGTGCATTGCGCGTGCACCGTGTGAATTTCTAATTTCAACGTATTATTATAGATAATTAGCAATCACGCATGCGATATCATTATTTAAAAAAAGTTTTTTAATATTCTTTCAAGTCTCTCTAAAAACATATTGCGGAACAATCTCGAATTACACCAATTATGGATGGAAAATTTTTTTTCTGTCGTACGTCGGCAGCTTACGAAAATAACAAGTTATTATTACGCAAGACTTGATGAAGATTAAATTGGAAAATTCCATTTGTCAAGTTTCAGCTGTGTAAATGGGGCATTCCCTTAAATTTAAATATAGATATCTTTAGCGATTAAAACTATTCCTATATCATAGATTAATATATACCTCGCATATGTTCCGTTTTTTTCCCATAAATTTTTCTTATCTCTTTTGTTATTTTCTAATGTAATATCGCAAATTGTCAGCAACGTTATATACTTTCTGATGGCGCATCTAAGAGAGTGTCGGTGGGTCAAGGATTCGATTCTTAACAAAACGCGATACCTGCGGGCTTGTTAATTTGCCATCGGACGAGCCGCGATGATGAGTCTTAAGGCGCCGACCTCGATATATGCATCTCGATACATGGTTGCATCCATATGCGTTACCGCAAATTGCGTACTGTCACTGTGAATCTGATAAATGCAGCTGCCAAATCGTTCCGCAACAAACAATACATCTTTCGATGTTAGCTAAGCGCGAATCACATGAATTTCCTAATAAATAGAGAAAGTAAGAGAAAGAGTTTCGCAATATTTGAATATATTGCATCGCAGAGTTTGTGTCTCGATATTATCTTTAGAGATCAATATGTATAATGTAATCATATAAAAAATTTAACGCTCGTAAAAATAATTTTAACATCTTTTTATTAACAAAAGTCTCTGATTTTTCTCGCGGATGAATATTTCTCTTAGACTAAATCATTTTTATCAATCTTTCTTATCATCGAACCTCGTGCGATTAATTTATTTTTACAGGACTCTATGGCACGCTGTTCAGACGCAACAAGGAGGCGGCCTTCTCAAACTACAGGCTATGGGAGAGCGCCGGTTTTGTGATCGCCTACGCGTACAGTACGCATCTCTGTGCTCGTATGAAGCTGTACGTGATGCTGACGGTGCTGATCATCGGCACCATAGGCTACATCATTGTCGAATTGCTGCACAGGCGCAAGCAGCGACGGCTCAAAGCAATCGCCGAAGATCCGAAGGCCGCCCAGATCGAGGCGAATCAGCCGGAGGAGACCGACGACGAGAAGGACGACCTCGACGACGAGATCACAATCACCCACCTGTGAGTGATCTGCGCCATCGACGTAATCGTTCCTCGTTAAAAGTACTATCCGCGCTCGCGGCTCTTTCTCGTCTCGTCGACGAGAAAGTCGAGACGACGGTAGCCGGAAAACGACAATCGATTGATTTCGCGGATATCCTTTCTTCCGCTATATCCGACGAAATCTAACATCCTATCAATCCCCTCATTCTCGTTTCTCAGTCCTTCGAACCTCGGATAGACCCGCGCCGTCCAATCGGTGCGCAACTCTACGTTTTTCCTGTTGACGATAAAAAGTCAAAGTCGAGATGCAACTTCAGAAGAACGGTGGGTATGCGCACGCCTTCCACGATGAAGTGGAAATGCCGAATGTCGACTTCATCTCACGGGACGCTTTCCTTCAAGGAAATACCGGAAATGTAACGCGTATCCAGACCGTAATCTGACTTCTATCTTCTTCGGCGACATCGGAACGAGTTGATAGTCGATAAGTAATACACTTATCAATACTTGTGGTGCTAAAAAAACGCGCATGATGACGTATAATTCGCTCTCATGCTACTAGGAACATAGGACTTTCGCTACCGTTACTAGAAGCTCTTGAATTGACACCGACAAGAAGGATCATCTCAATGACAACGTTCTCATTTTATGTCTTCGTCATGGTTCGTAGAGTGAAAAGTGCATTTTGTTAATACCGCCGGTACCGGCGCCGATTTAAATAATCTAGTGATCTTTACAAATTAATTATATATACGAATTTTTTTATTATAAATACTTAATCGAATTTGTAAAGATTACTATGTTATACTTTGTACCCCTAAATGAGAATGCATGTTGACATATTATATACATGTGTATAGTTTGTAACTAATGGAAATTGGCGTGAGATTCGACGAAATTCGTCATTTATTCGAGAAAGAATGCTCTATACTCTCGCTCGAATTTACAATACTCTTGTTTAAAAAAAGTAAAACAATTGTTATAAGAAAGGCGTTCTTAATAAAGAAATATCATTGTTATTGATTACATCGGAATTCCTTGTTTTTTTCTTGAGAGTGAAGCAAGTGAGATGTCAATATGGATCTGTACATTAAAACAGTATTCTTTTTTTTTTTATCAAAAATAGACAAATCAAAAAGGATGGACAAAGTTTCATTCTACGCGAAATTAAATTGCTAATCTTCAAAATTCTAAATTATGTTTTGTGTTTTGTTTTTGACTAGCTTACATATAAATATCTTTCTTCAGTATATTTTATTTTCTCTTTCTGTTTCATGTATAAAAGGAGAGAGAAATGTATTTTAATTAAACGTATAAAAATGTATAGAAATGTATATAAAAATGTAATTTTTTACAGGCAGCAATTTCAAAGCAATTTTTTTTTTATTCCGATATTTGAGTCATATCATAGTAGTTAAAAATTTTACAGAATAAGAACACATTCCAATTTTATCATTCAATCTATTTTTTTCGAGAATCTTATCTCGCGCCACTTTTCATTCTCCCTTAGAGCGCAAGAAACATATCAAGCTACTACAGGTAAACACCATAAGTCGTTTGAATGCATGCGTGTGCATCGCACTTTCCGTCCTATCATACTTTACTACACGGTAGCTCAAGAGTCTACGATGTAAACTTAGGATACGGATGCAATCCTCTAGAGAGATCTGTTCTTACGAAAAAGTCATCTATTGATAGAATGGTGATTATTTCTTTGATTAAAAATAAAAACGCGAGACTATATATAAAATGTAAATTTAATTTTTCAATTCTTTATATCTCTGTGCGAAGGAAGGAATTATAAGAATTATATCATATACGCGACGCAAAAAGCGTACGTATCTTATTGTTCTTGGAAGAATAATCAGTACGTGAGAATATTAAAAACTCATCGTATCTCTATATCATCAGAGCAAATTTTGCAAAGTTACGCGAATATTTCTTGTGTGTAAATATACTCTGACTAATATACTTCAGTTTATATAATTCCTACCGAGCATTCCGCTGCGTAAAGAAGTGACATATGACGGAGACTGAAAAAAAATTTTTCGTTGCTAAAAAGAATAAATATCTTTTCTTACAATCGAATAATTTTGTTGAATACTGATTAATGTTTCAATATTTTTAATATGGTATCTGTCAGTTCAATATTATTGCTTGTGAACTTTTTGAGCATTCAACGTAGTGATTTGTAATAATCTCCTACAGTTTTCAAAACAGATAAAAAACAATGTTTTATTTTTCTCATCCTTTTATGTAGGAAAATTTCAGGCATGATTTAGACAAGTTTCGCGAAGCTTTTCCACGTAAAGATCGAGACTATTTTATGTAACCGACGCGTTATAAAACTAAATATTTTACGTTAATTTCCGTCAATTATTGCACAACATAATGGATTAATTGTACGCTGCTCTTATCAACCTTCGCGTATTTATTGCACGTGCTGTCGGAGATTCGTGCGATAAACCGAATACATTTTAATGTTTCCACGGACGAGTGAACGATTATCTTTTTTTCGCAACAGTACAATGACCAGAACGGAGACAAGAAACCAAAGACAGGAAACTCACAAGAATCCTGTCTTCTGGATGGGAGACCTAACCCGCGGTACTATTATAATTCATCCGATCGACATCGCGTTGGTTTGAAGTTACTTCAACGAGAGCTCCGCGTTCCACGTCCGTCTCTTTCTCGTTTTCGTTTTATTATTATTCGTTCATTTCTTCTCTTGTTGTTCGTTTTCCATTTTGTTGGCAAGAACTCGTCTTGCCAACGCGATATCATGATGTTCTCCTCGATCAGCATCGCTATCGCGAAAAAAACCCCATGATGACGCTATTGGAAGCTGCGCGACAAGAATGGAACGCGCGGCGTTTAACGGTGCTCGTTTTGTTCGCTTTTTGCTGGCTGGATTCTACGCACATCGCCAATCCTCTCTCTTCTCATCTCGCCTTTTTTTCCCTCTCTCGCCTTCTCAATGCCGCGGAAAGTTATTATACTTCTCGACGGGGTTTTTAATCCTACCCTATCGTTATATCCCTCTTGCCTCCATGATGTCGCAGCGGATTCCTCATCTCCATTCCGCGAGAAATTTCTCACTGTAAAATCTCGAAATTGGAATAAACGTAAATGATGGCAAGATCGATATTAATCATGCTAAATAAAATCAGAGGACTAATCTTGTAAATTTCACGTTAAAATGACCTTAGATGTTTCATTCACCAATACATTGTTACATATTATACTCAAAGTGTAATGAAGTAATCACTATTTTATCAAACCGAGATATCGAGGATTCGGGGAAAAAAACCTTTCTCCAGTGTGTAAATACAAAATAAATGATAGCTTATATAAAATAATTCGAGACATTTGTGTCAGAGAGTGATACGTTCTATCGTGCGAATCGAAATACACATTATGTATGCCGTATTATACATTAGGGATATCTGGTTTCGTAGTCGCACCAAGAATGTACGTTTCCTGTATCACTGAAACTGTGCTCTATTTTCTCTTTATTGTATCGCGAACATTGTAGATTTAAATAGCTCAAGTTATGTAGTGTAGTAGCTGCGGATGAGAATGGGATTAGTAATTGAATCGGGTTAGCGTTAAACTCGTTTAATGAAAGTATAGTGATAGCGTATATAGGTAACTGCTTTCTAGCGATTAGAAAAATTGTGCCTCATTTGAAATCCGATTCGCTCTGCAATCCGATTTCATCCGTGGTTGCTATACATATTAATATTGCAATTAAATACATATGTATAGCCTTACGGTACGAAAACAAATAATAGAGAAATTAAACATCAAAAGAGTTTGAGACGCAAAGGGCAGCAGCTTGCCCGGAATATTTGCGTGTATTTTTCGAAGGGAATACCAGTTTTTTTTTGTTGAACTTTAAAGGGATTCACACGAATCACAGTTTGCACCTTAAATGCATTGATAAAAAGACATGGTTTAACGGGGACCACGATCTAACATATATTTTTAAGCCTGCGAGATTAGACTTCCTAGATTTTACTGAAAAGTATTCAGAGAGATATATCTATATATATTTGTTTAGAAGATAAAAAATGTATACAAAGATGTCCGAACTAACAGCATTGGGACCATTTTGATTTGCGTACTTTTTGCTCTTATTGAGATTTGTAAATATTAATTTTAGTATTAATCGTTAGGTATATAATTATGCAGAGAGGGAAAG